TACTCACACAGAAAATGATATTATACAAAACGGTTAAATATACAACTAATAACAATAAGATAATACTTTGGTCGGCAACAATCTTATAACAATAATGATTAACCATAGAAATGACTCTGCCGAACGATCTGCACCTTTAGTTGTTAATAGTTTTCTAATAAACAAAAAACAAAATGCATTTTAGGATCCATATTTAAGTGAGTCATATTCAGTACACTTATTTATTCTTAACTGCTTAATTATAAAGTAATGGTATTATCATTCCCAACTGTGAATTTTTTTTTTTTTTAAACTATTATGAATCTTGTGCTTCAAAACCATTACTTACCGTACAATTTACAGGTGCAAATATCTGAACAAACAGCAAACATAAAACAAATATTACAAAGAATGGACATTTCAAAACAATAACACAAACTGCCAACAATAACAACAGCGAGACTTTCAATTCTGAAGACACTTGCAGAAGCAAAAAATAAACAAGCTTTGCTACTGTTGGGAACACATTTGTTCTTCATTGAACATGATACATATATGGGATTGAAACTGCTAATTGCCGTTTGCCAAAAATATAACATGCAAGAAATGTATCACACTATTGTTGATCTGCCTACTGTACATGACAACAGAGGTATACAAATTCTGATGAAATTAGTAAAACTACCTAATCATTTCTACAAACTAGAATATTGCAGGAAACATTTCAAGTCCTTGACTTCGACTGCAACAATTCTCATTAAGAGACGAATATTTGGGACTTGCAACAAGGATAATCAAAATCGTATACATTGGGACAGATCAACGTCACCAAAAAATATCACATGTCATAGATGTAACGTGGATTACCAAATAGTCTGTATGAAATTTAATTTTTAGTAACTTTCGTATGTAATTTCTTGCACATGTACAAATTTCAAATACTTTTTAGTTTAATTTGAAAATAAAAGTTAAAACTCATTCGATTATCAACGATTGATCCAAATATTTAATAACTTATAAAGAGAAATTCATCGCAAGATTACAATAATTAGTAACACGTAAACAATATTTAATAAAAATATTAAATACCAATGATTATACAATTTCAAATAATAAAAAATGTTCGACAAACAACAATCTAAATACTATTCCTATAACATATAAAAATAAATTTCCATTCCATTATTCATTAGATTGAATTCTACACCGAACCACAACATATTTTGGAATCCCGCCTGCCAAACCATTGTTAACTATTTATTACGTTCTCCTTTAATGCACCACAAACAGTTTTGCTACAAGTTGTCAACACTTCTTTCAATCAACGTGTCTATCTGTTGTTAGATGTCTATTAATTTTCCCAAAGCAACTTTCATACTGAGTGATACATTACCCCAGATACTCTACTAACATTTCGTGTCACCTTATCCAAATTATTATTAACACTTTTTCGATTGACATATTTATTCATTACTAGACGTCTGTTCATATTCCACCTTTTTATATCCTGTACGCCTATAAATATTATTTTGATACTTGACAAAATATTTATTGTCCATCCTTTGAAAATGTATCAATAAGATTTTATTATTAGTAAATCACATTTTTGTTTATCATAATAACTCAACATCTTGCCGAACCATTATTAACTACCTAACTAATATACTACACACTTAACAAAATATTTATTATGATTTTCTTTAACATTGTAAAGATAGTCTACTAACGTTTCGTATTACCTTTTCAAAACAATTATTAACCCTTTTTTGATCGACACTTTTATTTATTACCAGATGTCTGTTCACATTCCACCTTTTCGTATCTTATTCTCCTATAAATAATGCTTTGACATCAATCACCAATTTAACTTTCTTCATATACTATACACTGTAATTGTTCATTTCTTCTCCAAAACTTAATTCGAAGATGGCTAACAAAACATCACAAAGAGAAGAATCTGCAGCGAATACCAACAACGACCTCAACAACAATAATTCTCCATCGAGGCAACCAGAAGGTATAAACGTTCCACATCTTTTGTATCCTAAATTACAAAATCGCAAACAAAACCATGATAAATATTTGCGGGAATATAAAAACCACTAATTTTTTTTTTTTTTTGATATGTCGAGAGTTCATCTGATAATTATATTTACACATTCATGTTACCGTTTCCATATATTTATAAAAATTGATTGAATATTGTTTCTGCAATTGGTTTAGACATTTTTTAGGGAATGCCGGAATTGAGAGAGATTTTCAAAAAAGTTGAGACCAATCTGGATGATCTACATACTACAAGAGACAAATTCGCAGAAGTCATTAACTAATTGTTACAAATCACGGAATCTATCATGGATGTTATTTATAACCTTAACAAAAGAGAGTATGAATATGCACTAGAGGAACTGAACAACTATAAGAAAAATATGAAATAAAGTCTATATTATCCAAACTCACTTCACAGTATAAAAAAGCGATGTATTTATGTCTTCTATAATAAAAGTATTATTCTCTATATTCAATTTTATCTTGATTTTGGTGTTGCTCATTAATTGATTCAAAATTGTTCTCCATCGTAACACGTTACTTTTGATTTGATTCTTCCACCTTTGCACATTGGATGAGTACTAACAATAATTATATAAGTACATTACATAGACATTCCAAAAATCTAATCATTTTCAAGAAAAATTTATAAAGATAAAAACAATCAATATCAAACCTGAAAATGAATTCAATATAAATTTTAAGTTCAAATAATTGATCTTCATAATATTAATTGATATTAATGATTATAAAGGTACAATTACTAATTTTATGTTAACACAATTATGTACATATACAAAAATTATATTTACTCTAAAATTTGTACATATATAGAAATTATTTTTACAACCTATTCTAAAAATATTAAATAAACATACCCGCGCAACGCACGGGCCCAATACATAGTTTCCTTAGTCAAACATAATGAAATATGATAAAAGAAACTAATACAAGAAAATTAGATATAACATATTATGTTACAACATTTCTCAAACAGGGGACAAATTTGGCAAAAGATGTTTAGACTCAATCAACATATTAGTTTAAACACAAAAACCTTAAGTGTCGACTAGATTGGGCCAACAACGAGGCTCTCGCGACAATGCTTATTGTTGACGAAACAATAAAAGAGATGACCAAAAAATGTAGGTAATAGGTGATACGATAATCGCCACCAAATAGTATCAAGATTAAGATATTGGATTGTGTGAAAAAACCCTCTGGGTTTTCAATAATTCATTCAAATAAATACTACCCTCCTCTTAAGGCTGATGCATCCTTTATATAGTTTCCCTGAAACCCTATACTAAAAATACAAAGAGAAAGAAAATTAAACAAGATTACAAAACAGTATAAAAAGTATAGAAACTTGCAAAAACACCCTTGAAAATATAAAAAAGTCCAAACACCCCTCAAAATGACTCTGAAAGACTAAAAAAAGTGATGACCCTCATTATAAATGAACTTTGTTTGTTTGACCTTTTTAGAAAAACCTATAAAAAATCATCACATTCTAACATTGTTGACACTATTGAGCACTTGCCATAGGTGACGACGGTGACAACTAATGGGAGAGAAAGGAGGGAGAAGGAGAAAAAAGGAGGAGAGAGGGAAAAAAGAAAAAGGGAGAGAGAAAGAGGTAGAGAGGTAGAGATATGGGGAACAAAGAGGTGAGAATTTTGTTTTTAGGGTTTATGGTTTTAGAAAGGCCATTTTTTCATTTAGTAGTTTAATGAAATTTTTGGTAAGGGTAGGGGCTTATTTAAGTGTTTCCGGAAACAGCTTTGCCGCTTAAGGGGCGTTTGGATCGGGGGTATATAAGATAACAGAGATAATCTTCGTTTATTTTGCAAGTAAAAAAATATTACGGGAATCTTTTTTTACAAATAGTGTTTACTGTTGATAATGTGGGGTAATTCGATGCCTTCCCCCACCCCTGTTATTAAAACATTAACGGGGTAATCTGATTTTTCTACCCATTTTGCTCTTAGTTAAAAACCATTTCGGACACAATTGTCTTCAAATGTCTACCAAATAACAATTATCCAACCCCCCTACATTTGAGAAATTAACTAAAACACCTTAGCCACAAAAAAGTTTAAAAGTTAACAAAATACCCCCAACCAGCCAAGAACACTGTGAGCCATGACTCACCATTGCCAGCCGCCAGCGTCAACCATCGTAATGGTGCAAGACTAGCTAGATCCCGTCGGTTGTGTGCTGGTAAGACCTTTTCCGGCCATGAATCATAAATCCATGGCCATAAACGGCCAGATCTAGTGTTTCTATGGCCGTTTCACCACCAAAGATATGACCTTTTCACGAAACGACCACATGTTTTGCCTTAAAATGGCCATAGATCTGGCCGTTTTCCAACCATGGATTACAAATCCATGGCCATTTCCGGCTTTGTCGATGCATGGCCGGCCATATATGGCCAGTTGTGCACCATTCTATCGACTATCGACGGCGGCCGATGGTGGTGGCTGGCCACCAGCAGTGGTTTGGTATGGATAGGGGTAATTTTGCTATAAATTAAAGTTTTATATGGTTGGGGTATTTTAGTAAAATTTCAAATATAGAGAGTTAAAATAAATAATAAAAAATACTATTATATTAATATTTAAAAAGGAGGGCAATTTAATAATCTATATAATATACCCACCTATTTATCATTCCAACCAAACATATTATTTACTAATTTATTCAAACCAAACAAACACATTTTCTAAATATTATCAATAATCCTTAAGGTGATTTTTTTTCATTAATATAATATCTTTTTATAATAAAACATTAAATGATGCAAATATCCTTTAAGACTTGGGTATCTTATCGGGAGGAGAATGCGATTAAGCCTTTATATATAAACACAAACAGACTGAAAAAAAAATAATAAATAAAAGGATTTTATATTGTTTTTATAATAAGGGTTAAATTTTTTTAACTTTGTCAATTAAGTAGGTGTATAATTCCGTAACCCAGAGCAAGCAGGGATAGGCAGGGATGGAAAGCGGCAGTGGGCAACAGAGATCCCTAAACCCTAGCAATGGAGAAACAATAGAGAAGCCAAAGGTGGTGGTAATAATGGGTCCAACAGGTTCAGGAAAATCAAAGCTAGCCATTGATTTGGCTTCCCACTTTCCGCTGGAAGTAATCAACGCTGATTCCATGCAGGTCTACCAAGGCCTTGAAGTTCTCACCAACAAAGTCCCACCTCATGAACAAAAGGGTTAGCAATCTCTCTCTTTCTCTCGTTAAATATCCATATTTGTTCATTTCTCTGATATTTTTGTCCAGTGGGTTATGTTATGTTATGTTATGTTGTGTTATGTTATGTTATTGTATAGGAGTGCCACATCATCTTCTGGGGACTGTGAGTCCAAACATTGAGTTTACTGCTAAGGAGTTTCGAGATTCAGCCATTCCTGTAAGTTTATTTTGCCTTACTTTCACCTTTGTGTTTCAAAGTGTTTTTTTTTTTAATTTATTTTTTAAATGTAAGTGTGGACATATATATTTGCAAGCTACTAATTAATTTACATGGTATTTAATGAAGTTCATACCATACTGGGAGGTAGTGATTCTTGGTATTGAGACCATTGAAGATAGAGATATTTGAAAATTGATCAAGTAGTTTTTGTTCAATTGTCATACTTTGATATTATAGAATGACTTGGTATAAGAAACCTGGAAAAGTAATACACCAAGAAACTTACATTTAACATTTTTTTGGGTGGCTTTATATCAAATTGTATTAACTGAAAAAAGATTGTAATGGTCCGCTTTTTTGGTTGTTCGTCTGGCTTGGTTGAGTTGAAGTAGTTCATTCCGCATAACTGACTGTATTGATTGATTATACACTTTTTTGGTAATTTAAATTTTGCATATGAGATGTGAAAGGTAGTGACTTTACATTCTTGGTGATGCTATGTTTTTATGTGTGTGTATATATATATCTGTGGATATTTGATATGATTGAAAACTTGGATTTTCAGCTCATTACTGACATACTATCTCGCAACCAAATACCTGTCATTGTTGGAGGTACTAATTATTATATCCAGGTATGGAACTTTTATGTTCTATTAATCTGAGTAATATCTGCTGGAGTTTTGTTCATATTCTTGGTTTAAGTTTTCTCTGTTATGTCAAATTGTTTTCAGCATCCATCACTTACTTCTAAAGGATGACTAGTGCTTCAGCAATTATAGTATACATTATAATAATTTCCCTCCTTTTTAGTGTATCTTTCCATTGCCTGCTGTATTTTTTGCAGTGTGCGCATTTTGTATAGTGTGGATGTTGTATATAGGAATCAATATGTAAAATTCTGTAACTTCTATGAAGCAATCTCTGTTTTTATTTATTCCTTTTGGTGGATTGAAAGATTTGTCTCCTATTTTTTCTCTTGAAGAACTTAATTATCGCTTTCTTAATTTCCTTCTCCACACTCAGGCTCTTGTGAGTCCATTCCTTCTAGATGATTCAACAGAAGATGTGGACGAAAGCTGTTATAGTGGCCTTTCTGGTATGGAGCAACTCATTTACTTTATACCTCTAGATGCAATTTGAATGTATTGTTTTTCCTCCCCATGTTCACAGGAGATGAGCAGGCAGACCTTGAGTTCGACTTTGGAAGAGACAGTTCCATTTACAGTTATGAGAATCTTAAAGACCTTGATCCAGTTGCTGCAAACAGAATTCATCCAAATAACCTGAGAAAAGTAGGGTTTCAACCATGAAATTATTTAGGGCCTAGAATATATATAATACCGCAGTTATGTTATCTGCACCTCTTGTTTTGCTTCTTAGATATTTTTGGTTTCTAATTGTATGATGATGTAACAAGCTAATTTCACTATGATTTTGTTTTCTTTGCAATCCCCTTGCATCATTATTCCTTCATTTACTGATATTTTATGGAGAAATGAATAAATATTAATGGAGGAAACCTGGGAAGTACAATAATCGACCACTCATTATTCTGCCTCTCCCAACTAGTGCTTTGCAAAAGCTACAAGTGATCTTATTGGCAGTAAATTTATTGTTATCCATCTTTAAGTTTATATAATGTTTCTTTATGTATTTGTACACATTTATGTATGTGATTGCATATTTGCATTTTCATACTTGCACACACACCCACATACGCTAGTTCTAAAATTTAATAAATATGTGGTATTAATAAATGTATATGGGAATATGATCTACACCTAATATGCATTTTTAACTAACAAGTAGTTCCCATGAATGTTTAATAGTTTTATATATAATCATAATGGTTATATTAGTTTTTTTTTATAATATTTTATAGTTGTTAAACATGAAACTCATTATCATTGTTTTGATGGAATTGAAATCAAATGTTATTGGCTGGAGGAAAGGGAGTTGTTGAATGCATTTCTGTAAGTTCTAGATTGTCTTTTGAATTTCCTGTATGTGTTTGCTGGAAAAGGGGAACTTTTAATGTTCCAAACTGTTTTTCAATCAAAGGCAATTTTGGATTCTGATGATCCAACATTGCCGTTGGGGTCTGAGTTCTTAGTTTTGTTTTGTTTGTGGTTCTTAATATGTGCCATGTGTGAAATCTTTATTTGCTACTTTAAAGTTCTGAAGCTTTTCTCTGTCACCAGATTGAAATCCTTAATTATCTTCTCCCCTTACATACTAACAATTTATGTGGAGATTCAGAGAAACTTTTTACTAATTAATATATGTAATGATATGCCTGAAATCTCGGTGGCAGAAGTATATTTTAAGCTGGTATATTTAGATTTTGTTGATATTTTGCAGATTAATCAATACCTCAGTTTGTATGCTCGCTCCGGTGTTCTGCCTAGTAAACTTTTTCAAGGAAAGGCTGCAAAGGTTGGTTGTCCTTTTTAATTCCTATCTATGTTATTATGTTTTTTGTCACCATAAATTTGTACCATCTACTTGCTTTAGATGTTAATTCTGAAGCTGTTACACAATGGCTGGGAATACAAACATAATGTTTAGTAGCAATCTTCTTGTAATGATTTTTACTTTATAACTTTTTTTAGGGCCTTTAGGCCATTTTTATGTGTGGTGTGTCATGATTATTAAGTAATTTTTCTGTTTCACTCGATTTCTACACCTTTACTCTTATATAGAAAGTTATTCCATCACTTTTATTTTCTCCCTTCTTTCTCTATTGCCTTTCTCTCTCTCTCTCTCTCTCTCTCTTTTTGTTGTTTTGCATTTTCTTTATTGGATATTGCATCCATGCTCAGTAATGTTTGAAGCACAATTTATTTAGCTAGAAGTTTCTGTAACATCTCCTGCATCCCTTAACTGATCTGAGTGTGCATAGTTTTGCTAGTTTAATTTGACAGTGAAGCATTTTGTGACTGCCAAAATCAAGCTGATTCTTTTTTGACAAAGAGAGATGATATGACTTTTATGCTTTTATTTTTTAAATTGCATGTGCCAGGGCAGAACTGGGGTCGAGTGGATAATTCTAGATTCAATTGCTGCTTTATATGTGTTGATGCTGCTACCCCTGTGCTCGACAGATACGTAGAACAAAGAGTAGACTGCATGATAGATGCTGGATTGCTAGATGAGGTGTATGACATTTACAATGTGAATGTTGATTATACTAGAGGTTTGCGGCAGGCCATTGGTGTTCGGGAGTTTGAGGATTTTCTGAGAATTCACCTTTCTACAAGAAGGAACAATGGGACAACTGAATCTACTGATGCATTTCTTAACCCTGTGTCAACAAAAACTGATGACGAGACACTGAAAGAGCATATGAGGGCAATACTAAAATCCTCTGGTAACAATCAACTCAGAATACTACTTGAAGGAGCCATTGACAAAGTAAAGTTAAACACTAGAAGACTTGTTCGTTGTCAAGTAAGTATTTACAGTTGTCTAACAGCGTTTGATTTTATAGTAGATTGTTTACTATAATATTTTATCTTATATTTTGTATCAATCACAAAGAGTCCTTGATTAATTGTTGAACTCTGTAATTACTTCTGAGATTCTAAAGTGAATTTTTGGTTTCCCACCTTTTCTCTTAATGCATTGATGTCCTTATCTTCTCAAATCAGTTGTAAAATTTTTGTTCAATGTTCTGAATATTAAGGCAAATAGAGATAAACAGAATTATCTGGTATTTCCAAATAAGATTGTATTTTCTGATGATTGAACTGTTTGCTCTACAACAGAGGATCCATGTAATATGTGTTTTAACTTTGCCATTTTAAGCGGTAGTTCTTGTTGAGGGTAAAATCTGACAAATACAAGAATCGAGTTTCCTATGGCTCTAATCAATTCCGTACTATATAAGAATGAAAGCAATATGACAACTTGAAAGCTTCAGTAATACAGACAATATTCCTTTTACAGAAGAGGAGGCTTAATCGACTTCAAACATTGTATGGATGGAACATTCACTATGTTGATTCAACGGAAGCCATCTCATGTATGCCTTCTGCAATCTTTTTTCAATTCCATTGAGAGCAGTTTTGTTTTTGCAAAGAAAAGATATATCTTAAAGGTACTGGTCTAATCACATTCATTTTTCTGTATCCAGGTGAATCAGATGAATCATGGGCAGCAGATGTGGTTGAACCTGCTGTGAACATTATTACAACTTTTCTTGGTGATAAGGAAAGATTGGTGCCTAAGCTGGAGGATCAAAAGAGCACATCAAAGGAAACGATCCAAAGGGACTTGTGGACTCAATACATTTGCAAGGTGCGCAAGGCTTTCAGATGATACAATATTAATCTGTTTCTTTTCTTTCGTCACTCTTGCTGTTGTTTGTAGGCATGTTGATTAGATGAAGGTATTAGCTTTAAAATTGTTGTGCTTTGTCACGTCTATTGATAGGCTTGTGGGGACAAGGTACTTAGAGGTGCACATGAGTGGGAACAACACAAACAGGGCCGTAGACATCGAAAAAGGATTTTTCAGCTTAGGAAGTCTCAGGGGTTTTGCTTGGCAGAGCAGCAGCAACCATAAAATTCTTGCAGTAGTTAAGACAACAATATTCAGTGGCATGTAATCTTGAATACTAATAGGTAATTGGAAGAGTAACATTTATGATTATGGTGCAGTGACATTTTAAGAAACTTACCAATGGATAGTGCACTTGAGAGTCTCCAGTACCAGGCTTACTACGAACATGGGATTTGTTTTAGAGAAAAAATAGAAACAAGAGTTGATGCAGGATGGGAGAAGTTTGTTATCATGTGTTTGGGAGTGTTTTTGTAATATTGTTGTTGGGTTTGCAAAAACCAAAATTATGTCTGTAACACTCAACATTTTTCAGACGAAAATTTGTGACTCAAGCTTACTATGAACATTTTATTAATCAGAATCGGAAGCATGAAATCAGGTAAAACTACATGAAATCAGGTAAAACTAAAGTCAAAATTTACTATTACAACTAGACCGGCATTACATTATATCAACTCGTTGCACCATTTATTTTATACAGGAATTCTGCAACCATAACATCAAGATATCATTCTATTGATTCATTTCAATAGCCTTAACATCAAGTCTCTTCCCTTCCTCCTTGGGAATGATAACAGTCAGAACTCCATTTTCCACAGAAGCCTTAACCTGATCCATCTTCACATTATCCGGCAATCTGAACCTCCTGAAGAACTTGCCACGTCTAATTCCTGTCTTCCTTTCTCCAGTTTATCCTAAGCACCCACCCTGTTATCTTCAATCTCCACTCTCACTTCCTCTTTCTACAACCCTGGAAGATCCGCCTTGAAGACTTGTGCTTCTGGGGTTTCCTTCCAGTACACATTGGTGTTAACAAAAGCTTAAGTTTCTTGAGGGAATGTGAAGTTCTTGAAAGTGTCCCAAACATCAAGAGAGAAGGGATCGAAAATGCTGGTTGCCGAACAAACTTGGAATCATTGCCATGTTTTATTTAAGAATGTGAGATTTAGCGCAACTTTTAGCTAATTTGGATGCTGAGCATTTTGCTGTTTGCTGTTGACCCTATTATATCTAATATATGTAAAGTGAGAGTAGCTCAATCTTATAACTACATAGGAAATTAGATTATGAGAATAACAAAGCCTGAATCTGTTTTCCTTGAATCAAATCTTTCTTTTTGAAACAAAGAGGGTATATTTATATTATGATAGAATTTATCAATAAGTCGATATATCAAGTTATATACAATTGAATGATTCATTCAATCAATCTTAAAGAAAATTTTCTTCCATATACTAAATTAATCAATATTGAATTATCCAAGGAACAAATTAGCTAAACATATTTTTTTACGATTTTATAGTTCATATTATACCATAAAATTGATCTTTTAGATACATGGTCTTGTTAATTATTTTCGACCCCATAGTTTATATTATATCATAAAATTGATTTTAAAAAATATCTGATTGTGTTATTTTCTGTGTGATGGATAAGAGAACACCTTAAACCTATAAAGTGTTCAAAATAATGTAGTTGTGTTGGATAGTTTCTTAATTAGGAACACTAGGCTGGGTAACTAGCACATGTGATGTGTGATATTGTCAGCAAGATTATGTTATAACACTTTTAACACACATGGAATGTACATGGCGTGTAATATCCTTTTAGCAATCCTAAAGAAACTAAAGACGACTGCTTGTGGACAACATTTTAAAGAACAATTGCTACGCGTGAAAAGGGAGCATCTAATCCTATCAGATATAATAAAAGAATAATATACTTATAACTCAGTCATATAACTATATAAAATTTTTATAAAATTGATGTAAAATGATTATTCTATCATGTGTTTTTTGTTTGGTTGTATGATTCAATTATAAGTATAACATTATTCGATATTGTTGATGCGGGAATTTAACACAAACTAATCGACATGTGCGTTACGTTGATTGGTCAAGAGACACACGTGATTATGGACAGAATATAGAATAAATGCAATGAGAGCTTTTTAAAGTGGTTCGGATGCTAAGGTAGCAAGTCCTACGTCCACTGATTTGTATTAGTATTGTGGGTCAGGTCGTAACAGCGGACTGACTTACAAATGATTAGGAAAAATAAATACAAAGTTTACAAGAGAGAGAGAGTTAGTTCAGAGTGCAAAAAATAGCCGAATCCTCCTTAATGAAGGGGTTTTCCTCTTTTTATAGCGAGATGAATGCAAGTAATCATCATTAAATCCATAGGTTGGTGTAAATGTCAGGACTAAATCTGGCTTTATGTCACATTATCCTCCTTCCAAGCTGATTTCACGCGATTTGGAGCAGGGAGTGGACACGTGGGAGCTCCACGGCATCTTGCAGGTCTGACGTGCGCTTACCGTTCTGACGGGAGCAGGTCACACTTCATCACGTGATTTCCCACGTCAGCCCTTGATTTCCCAAGCATAACAGAAGTCCCCTAGTTTTTAAGGTTTGAGAATCGAACCTTGGAAACTAAGCCATGCCGCGATTGGATGCTCTGATAATTTCGACCTGAATGGAAGAAGCTCGGGACAGGGCCTTTTGCGAACACGACCTCGCACATACTTTGCCTAAACGACCTGACAATCATCATCCCAGCGACCTGGATTCATCGGGCGTTTCTTACTGTGCCTTAGGGTTGGAGATTCAATGAGCCTGTTTCTGCGCGGTCAGGTGCTCTGCACGTGTTAAAGCGTCTGGCAGGCGCATTAAATGCGTTGTGTGCTGACCCGACGTTGTTTTGACAAAGCATTAATTGCATGACACACTCGAAACGACAACCCTCATCACAACATTGAATGTGACGTGGGGCGCATTTAATGCGGAGAGAGAGAAGGCTGTCGTTTCGATTCCGAGGGGTGGTAACCGTCGGTTCGTAGTCCATATAAAAGCCCAAATTTTTCAGATGATGCCACCAGAATCCCTTCTGCCTCGAGCGAAAAACCTTTGCAAACCGGAAGCTCTTCTTTTTCGATTGGCATCTCTCCGATATCTGAAACAAGAACCATCCTCGATCACGCGCCCCAGAAGGTAAGGTCTTTTCTTTCTTTATTTTGGGGGTGTAATGGCGTTGGGTCTCCTGGTGTTTCATCAAGGACGCGACGCTGGTGTCGGGCTCGAGCCGTGGATGGTGGCTCGAGTTACTGTTAGGGTTTAGGGAATTTGTTCCATGCCGCCGTGCGGGGTAGCGTGCAATGGCTAAAATGACCTTCTGTCTGTCGGTGTTGCAGATTGTGGAATGGAACCTTCAACGTCCAGACCCAAGGAAGGAGCCAGTTCGTCTTTGCGGGACGTTCTCGCGGACGCATCTCTTGATGTTTTCTAGGTTCTCACCCGAGAAGAGTTCTAGAGGATAAAAAGACAGTTCGACGTCCACGCAGAGGTGTTCCTTGATGCCACCCGGTCGTCGCGACATCCTTTCGATGGCCTAGCTGCGATCTCCGAAGAGATCTTCAAGGGTGGAGGGATGATTCCTTTCCACCCTTTCATTAGGTCGGTCCTGGATCACTTCGAGATCGCACCAATGCAGTTGATGCCAAATACGTATGTCATCGCCGTTGCGATGTACATCGCATGCCGCGAGAGTGGCTTGGGCGAGCTGACGGTGGTGGAGCTTGGCGTCGCCTATTTTCTAAAAAAGAGTAAGGACAAGGACTCCTATTACTTGTCCCGGTGACCTACCATCGCCGAAGGGATACATAACTATCCCAGCAACGCCGGGGCCTATGAGACGAAGTTTTTTTTTTCTGCTACGATGGCTACTGCCGCTTTCAGAAACCAAGTAGGTTCTTCTTCGCTAGGTTCATTGGCTGTTCGTTTCCTTTATTATAACGACTTGCATTCTTTTGCAATTAACAAGACGACCAGCCAAGACTTGCTCACTGACCCGGACAGGCTCGTGTCTTTTGGAGTCCTTCCCGAGGAAGCTCGTGACGACCACGAACTTGCGGAAGTACGATTTTTTTAGTAACAACACGTCTTTGGAGTCCCCAGAAGGTAAGTTACAATGATTCCCTTCTGGTCGTAGAATAATTTTTGTTTAGTTACTAATATACTTGTATGCAGCGACCATGCCTCCGAAAGAGTCTGAGCAACCCCAACGAGCACCATTTGTCTTCCCTCGATCGAGGAAAGAAAGGGCAGCCGAAGCTGCTCGCCCCACAATGACACAATCGGTGCGAACAGCCGTGCCTTCCCAGTCCCGTCCTGGTCATGAAACGACCAGGATAGAACCGGTCGCTCAGCCACCACCTGCTCGCCCGAGGCGGAAGGCTCCGACCCAGCGGTCGAAGAAGAGGAAGCAGATTCAGGTCTACGAGTCAGAGACCAAATCTGAGGAAGAACCCTTAAGGTCACGGCAGGACGTAAGAAGGAGGTCAGGCAAGGAACCCGCAAACGAGACAATTGCTGTCGACAAGGCGAAGGGCACACCAGTGCTGGACTCGTTGGGGAGCCTGCCCGAATACCTACAGCCAATAGTCTATTCTCTGCTTGAGTGTGGGCTATCGGAGTCATATGATGAGTTCGCCGATACGGGTGATGACCTGATGACCACGTCGTTCCAGCATCTAAGCAAGGTAAACGAACTGTTCTTAAAGTTTGTCCGCCATCTTCATGCTAACTCACTTCTTGCTCGCAGGCTTTGCTGGCGATGAGGATGTCCATGGAGAAGGCTCGACTAGGGGCCGCGAAGGGGGCAAATGATCTGAGAGAGGAGGTTGCGAAGCTCAAACACAGCCTGGATGTGACAACTGCTGTAAGCTAATACAATGCATGCATAATAACAATAGAAAATTGGGCCCAAAACTTTCTTTTCATTATAAGTCATGTGCCTTTTATACACAAAGAGGTTTGTTTACAAAAATTCATTTTAAAAGACAAAACAGGGGAAACAGTGTAGCTATTGCTCCTCGCTCGCCGACGCCCCTCCGACTGCATCAACACCTAGATCCTTCTTCCATAAAGGAAAAATAACGGGGTGAGTACAAAATAATGCTTAGTAAGTAAAACCCTCTATCTGTCTGTCCCCGTATGTATTACTCTTAATTCTTTCCTTATACTATTTCTGTTTCTATTTCTGTTTCTACTAAACGTCATGGCCTCATCTTACCGGAGGTATGGCCAGATGGCGTTCACACAGTACCATCTCACTCTCCATGACTATCGGGTGGAATTCACACAGTACCAACCCGTTCTTAGTGACTACCGAGTGGGGATCACGAAGCACCTACTCGGTTTTCGTAATTATCGGGTGGAGACCACCTAGCACCCACCCGTTTCTTATGACTTTTGGGTAACGATCACCAAGCATTAACCCGTCTCTAATCACTGTCGGGTGATGATCACAAAGCATCAACCCACTTCTAATAAATGTCGGATGATGATCACAAAGCATCAACCCTTATCTAATAACTAACCGGGT